TTTAAATTTGAATTGAGTGCACTGATGTGGCAGACCTCTTCCAACAAGACTTAAGCAATCACTACATCGTTGGGGAGTATTGTCTTCCTCAGGTTAGGAGCACCTTAAAGGGTTGTTCTCATTCAGTTTTAGATGACCAACTTGGCAAATGGGACAGTTGCAATTTTGATACCTTGTTGCTGGCTTAACTTTAACTGAATAAAAGTCAAACAAAGGTGGAAGAACAATATCTTTTCCTTCATCTTTTATCCTAAGAGTTGTTAGACAAGAGTCACAGATACTTCATGGCACTTTGATATCGGTAAAATCAAGATTTATATGTATTGTTTGAAGATTATTTCAGCAAGGTACTAAGTCACCTCACGTGAACGCTTCTTCATGCACATAACACAAACAGATTTCCGCCAATTTTCATGATTTTTTGCAAAATTAGAAAGTTTTGAAAGTTCTTGTACACACATGACATGTGAAAAACTGCTTTCAAGCTGTACACTAGATACTAGCAATTTTTTGTATTAGTTTGCTTAAAGCTGGAGTAGATAATTTATAAAAACATAAAGTTTAACTCAAAAATAAAAAATTCTAAAGTTAACTAGAAGTTATCTTATTTTAAAAATAAGTTTTAAAAATCAACATAAACATATACATAACTTATACATAAGCATAACAAATCCATAAAGCATAAAAATAACATAATCCATAAAATAACATAATCCATAAATTATCAAAATCTAACATATATATAAACATAACAAATCAACATAAACCATTTTAAAATCGCCATTTTTTGTAGAATTGTAAAGAAATCATTAAAAATTAGTAAATGTAAACAAAATTAAAACTTTTCAACTAAAACGTACCTTTTTTGAGCTTAATTAAAGTTTTCGAGCAAATAAGCAAATGTTTTTTTTTTTTTAGCCTAAAAACAAGAAAATATGATTTTATTGTTGTTTTTAAGTATCTTTCTAAAGCCGAATAAAACAATTTTCTAAAAACAAAAACGAAAAAAGCGATTTAAACGATTATTTTCTTTTACTTGACTAGCTTATTTATTTACTAGTCGAGAAGAAAACATCGTATTAGCAAAGCTAATCGAGACGGGTTCCCTTCGTACCGAAGTACTGCTCATAACGCTAAGTAGGCGGAGCCGGGATATGAAGGTCCAATCCTGCTGCAATGGCCAATAATTATTCCGAACTTTATAGCAGCGCTTTAATCAACTGAGCTATCCCAGTGCTTACATGTATTATTAAGTTGCAACATTTACAAAAATGTTTTTTATAAATTTTTTATTTACATAAGTTCATTTAATTATATGGCTTTTATGTAAAATGACCCTTTTTTACACGATCCAAACAAACCTAAAGCATTATAAAAATTAAAAAAAAAAATCATTTACGTTTCATTAAATATAAAAAAAACGCTGAAAAATATTTTACACCAACACTCATGCGATTAATTAATTTCTAATAAGATCGTTTTAAAAATTAATTAATTGTGACCCATCCAAGTTTATGTTTCATAGTAAATTATATGCAAAAAGTTTAAATTAAAAAAAGATGTAATCGAGAAGACCTGGAACTTTATGGTCTATTTAAGTTACTCCCGCTTGAAGCAATAGATTTTTCTAAAAAAAAAGTTAAAAATCACTAGTGTCTACTGTACACTGCCGGTTCCCAGAATTTTTTCATAAGGTAATTTTAGCACTTTGGAGACATACTTATGTTTCATAGAAAGTTATAATCATCAAATAAGAGTTTTAAATTGAGTCCAAATAACCATATTTGTCTTTGTTATGTATATGTTTGGAATAATAAATATTAGTTTTAGAATGTTTTCTCGAACGAAATAGTTGGATTTCAAATTTTACATTTTTAGAGTCAGGAAACATTATACTTTCACCCAGTCGAAGTGGTTTTCTCGGGTTAGCTCAAAGTAATTGTTGTCCATTTTGTACAACAGTGGTTATACTGATGAGCTGTTCTGAGTTGAATTTTCAAAAAAATGCCTATTTTCATAGCCACAAAATATTGTAAAAAACTAAAGAACGAAGAATCAAATGAAAGCAGATTTGTTTATAATTTTAAGTTTATATTTAATGATACTGTTTATAAATTTCTAAAAAAGTTTGTATAATTCTATAAAATATTGGCACCTACTGTTTTTAGAATAAAAATATCTGGACATTTTCTGTGATTTCTGAAATTTTCTGACGGTTTAACATGGATGGGTGCAAAACGTATATTTTTAACATCTATTTAAAAGTGTATGCTTTAGGATTAACATTTTAGGACACAATAAAAGTAAAATATTCATCAATTACAAAAACATTTATCCTGGTATTCAAGCTGTTAATATAAATTGTGTGAGACACTATGAAAAAGGTGTTAATGCAAACCTACTAAATTAAAAAAAAAATAAAAAAGATCTCGTTGATCGTGGTTGTCTTACAGGTGTATGACTTAGTTGTCTGCGAGATTTTTCTAGGTGTTTTCATAAGTCAAATTGCTATGAAAACAAGCGTACTGGCAACTTTGTTTTATGTTACTTCTTAATGTTTACATGTTATTTATTCAAAACCAATAACTTGCAATATTATTACTGTGCCATCGACAGTAAAGATTCAGAGAAACGCAAGAGTTTACATGGAAAAACACAATTGAGTAGTTCAGCAGTAAGATTTGGGATCGAATATTGAAGACCACGTATGTACCACTCAATAATCGTTGTAATCTGAAACTAAACTTTGTACTGAAAATAAAAGTTGAAACTTTTATCAATAATTTTTTTGCATAGAAATGACTCTTGCTCTGTTTTATGCCAAAACATTAATAATTTTTTGCGTGGTATTTTGATTGCAACGAAACCAGTAGTATTATCAATTTTAAAGTTCTTTATATTCTCTCATTTTCATAAAAAGGAAAAAAAAAACAGATAGTAAAATGGTTAGCACCAAATATTTTTTGGTGCCATAAGGGTTGACAGCTTTTTACGTAAGTTAATTAAAAGCAGCCGTGACGCAGTAGTTGCGCCCTTGCCTCAGAAACAAAGGATCCGTGGTTCAAACCCGACTCTGGACAGGTTTTGTGACATCGGTTTGGAAGGAGGCGTGAACTTCCAATTAAATTCTCATCCGCGGTCCTCTGTGATAAGACCTTCAGGACCTCTTTGCGCACCTAAATAAATTAAAAACAAACAAACAGCTTTTTAAAAAAAGTTATTGTTTTCCAAAAAATATTATTTTTCCATAATACATTAGGCCGATTTTTCTTAAGATAGTACTACCCTGCATTTTTTATTTTTCAGAATATGATACTTTTCTTAAAATGATAAACATTTTTTGATAGTAGATAAAAAACTGAATATAAAAAACATCATTTTTTAAATTATTTGTATAAAAAAAATGCTGAGGCAGCAAAAAAAAGCAAAAAAATATGCGGTCACAAGAACATAAATAACTTGAGTAAAATTTGAGATAAAAGCTTTAAATTTTACAAACATATTGCTAAATGATTGATGGAGGGCCCCTAGTAGAATTTTTTAAAACTACAGAGCCAAAGTAAAATGGCAGATATTACCCTGTAAAAATCATAAAAAATGGTTCGTGGGGTATGTAAAATTTTAAATTCTGGTCGAAATAATAAGTATTTTTTGATTATTTTACTACCATTCTTTTCTACAACATCAATGAATAAGCTGTGAAAATTTCAAAGAAAAAGAGTCAATAACTTCTGAGATATTAATGTTCTAGTTTAAAAATATTTGAAAAATATTATTCTGAAAAAAACAGCTTTTAAAATAAAAAATGTCATAAACTAAAAAAATCTAATAAAAAAATATCCAAACTGACCACAAAAATATGATTAACCTTTAATATTTTGTTCTGTGTCAAAATAACCTTTTTACTAAACTTACAAAAAAGTTGTGAAAATAGGACAAACATATAAACAGACATGGTTGCTAAGGCTGTTGCTAGGGATTCAGAAATTACCTTGTTGCCTTTAAATACTAATTTAAATACTTTATATTAATTTTTAAAGGGAAAAAAAATTATACTTGTAATTCAGGATGTTCAAACTGTTAAAATTTGAAAAAAAAAATTTTTTGTTTTTTGATGTTTTTAATAGGGTAGTACCACCTTAAATAATCTAAAAAAATTTTTTTTGCAGTACAAATATCACTTAAAAAACTTTGGCTTACAAATTCGCCGAATGGTCACACACGAGCAGTGAACACCTAAGGGAAAAATCAAGTACATTAGAATAAAATTATTTTTCAAACAAAACTTATTCTGACAGTTGTTAAGAAAAAAATAAAGATTAACAGAAGAATATTTAAAAATGTACTCATATGATGAAAAAAATAGAACAGGCAATACACCTAAATAATACTTACAAAAATAAAAAATAAAATAATTAAATTTTTTATGAAAACAAAATGAACAAAGATATAAAACAAATAATATCACCAAACAACAACATACAAAGCAAAATATTGACTACAAAATAAAAAGTATGCATACATACAACAATATAAGGTCTAAGAATTGAAAAAAAAAATTAATGCCAAAGATATTAAATGCAATATCATTATTCAGCGTAGAAAAAAAGGGGGTAAACGGTCAACGGCCGTTCGAAATAAAAAATAATTGTTAATTTGACCTCAAAAAAAAATTCTTGCCGGTCAAGCTTGATCAGTTCAAAAAAATATAATTATGGAACATAAGGTTTACTGAAATATAATGTGTTTATTAAATATAATGTGTTATTAAATATTATGTTATAATATGGAAAATATGGTTTTATGAAATATAAAAACATAACCTTAACACTCTAACCACTAAATTACGGTTGTACATTTGTCTAATGACAACTTGTTTGTTTTGTTGGACAAATATTTACTTTTATAAATTATTAGTACTTGTACATGTAGTCGCACTTGATTTTAAGAATACATATTTTTTGTTCAATAAAATTATAAATAACTGTATTTCTATTTAGGTGACCTTTAACTTAAGTATAAACATTTATAATCGAAATGTCGACCCACCTAGTTTGTTTAACAGTTTGTCAGCGCAGTTTTCACTTGACTCAATTCAGGATAAAAAACTAAAGTTAAATGGTGGTTTGAAAAAATCGAAGAACGAGTTATTATTTACAGCAAGGTAAAAAAAATTGTTTGAGTAGTGATAGTAATTAGCATTTTTAGAAAACTTTTTCAGGTTAGGACAAAAAAGTCTTTAGTTTTGTATTTTAGATATCAAAAGTTTTAAGTACAATGTGTGTTTAAAAATTTCCAGAAAAATAAAACACAAAATAAGGTCCTTTCACAAATTACACGGCGAACGATTTCTTTTTTCTCTATTTATTTTTGGGTTGGCTTTGTTGCCTATTTATAAAAGTTTTTTATCACAATGTTCCTAAGGAATTGAAGGTATTCATTTAAATTTTCATCTTGTTTACTTCTTTTTAAATAGTTAAAATGATAGAAAAGTAAATTTTACTTTATAATTACTGTCACTATCAAAGTTTAAATCTTAAAAAAATAAGAGTTTATTGAAAAATATTTTTTTATGTACACAGTTTATAAAAACGGAGCCCAATTATACAGGAAGTGGTTCAAACTTGTTTGGCTTATTTTCTTATTTAGAAATTTGAATTAAAGAATAGAAGTACAGTTTATTGTTTGATAAAATATTGATTGTAACTCCGTATCATTAAAATAACTATGGATTTGCAGTAATAACTGTTTAAGGGGCTTGATACCTCTATTTATTGTCAAAAATCAAAAAAAAAAATTCCATTTAAAATATTACAATGAACTTAAGTATATAAGTGGAATCTAAAAAAATTAAATAAGTTATTAAAATTTATGTTAATGTAAACCTTTTTAAAAAATGCCCATAGCAACACCATGGTAACGGGTCCTTAAGATTGAAGCAGCTTATTTCAATCTGGAAAACTTTCATAATATAGAAAGTAAGAAGTAATATTTAGGCTGAAGTAATATTTAGGCTGAAGAAGTAATTTAATACTTATTTAAAACCCATACTTTATAGCAACATTTTTACACGTGAAATAAGAGCTTTTTACTTGCAGTTTTTACAATTAAACAACTAAATAGTAAATTAAATAAAAGATAATTTGTGATTGAATATTGTTATTTTGAAAAGGTGCCCTAAAGGTATATCTTTAATTAATACAAACATATATGTTTGTGTTAAAAAAAAAGTATTAGAGTTATATGTGCATTTAAGTTATTATTGAATTTAATGATGGAGTTATCCATCATTAAATTCAATGGATACATTTTTTTGATTTTGATATATCATTTAGTAATTTTTTAGTATATAATGCTTTCAAAATGGATAACTAAAGTTTAAAATTTATAAATAAAACGTGCACTAAAAACGGCATTAAACTAAAAAAGTAACTAGGAAAGGATTTATGGATAAAGTAAATCAAAATGAAACTATACCAGCTCATGAAGCTTAGACTTACTGATCATTTAATTTTTTGCTTCATTTTTAGATTTAGCCAAATTTCTATTTTTAGTTATTTCTAATTTTAAAAAGTCCAAATGATTTTAAATTTTAGAATAAAATTGTAGCGGCAATATATAGAATTAATAAAGCAACAAGACAACTTTTTTAAAAATACAAATTTTTTAGTTCTTTTAAGACGGCCTCGTAAATTTACACTATAATAACCTATTTAAGAAACGTAGAAAACTCGTAAAACCTTTTCAACTACTGTGCAATTAGCGCATAATTATAGCCTAAAAAATTTATGTTTATCAAGCAAACCATTTTGAAAACAAAATAAATTAAAATTCTAATAGAAACATAAAAATATTAATAAATTTGTTTTAAGAAATAAAACCAAATAGATATTATTAGCATAAAAAAGCCCTAGACAATCAGAAAGAAGTATACTTCGTTATAAAAAAAAATTTAATCAACAAAACAACAATAGCCTTAAATAAACTCTAACGCTATCATAGCTATCATAGATACCTCATTCGAAATATGATAACCAATCAAAAGTGTAGGAATATGAGCAACATGCGAAACCCAAAATCATAACAATAATTGAATAATACATGATAACAAAAAAGAACGTTGCACAAAAAACTTTAAAAATGTTAGTGGCATATATGTAAACATTTAATGAAGGATATAAAAATATTCTCTGAATAATAATAAAGATGAAAATTGTGCATGTGAAAACTGAAAGCTGAGTTAATGAATGCATGATAATATAATATAAAAGTTCTTTGTTAATGAATCCTTAAATGAAAAACTCAATCACACATGATGACCACATATACATAACAATCAAATCTATATCTACATTTCAACCACATATTAACTGTTAAAATTAAAATATTATCTAAATAAGGATGAGTTCAAACAAAGATAGTTTATCTATGAAAGAACAAAAAGCATGCAAACGATGTAAACAGGCTGTATGTGCATAAGGGTGTATAGGTGTAATATATAAGTCTGTGCTTTTAATGTCGTTCATTAGAGTCTTGTATTGTTAGTAACCAGCGTAAAAGATTTGTCTCAGAACTAAACCAAGATAGCCCAGCCATACTCCAGAAAATCATAATGGATTAAACACCTATGCATGGATTTATGACTTATGACTAAAAAGCTAGCCCAGGCATCTTCCAGAGACAAACATCTTCTTTTGCGGTGACAGTAATTGCGATTAGGAAAATAGTCGTGCTAGATGACCGTAACACTAACCCATGCCGGCCACGCCCAATATTATTTTAAAACTTAGGCATATAAAGTTCGCCGAATGATCACACACGAGCGGTGAACGCCTAAGGAAAGAAATGAAGTACATTAGAATAAAAGAGAATTATATATTAAACAAAGCGTATTTTGACAGTTGTCAAGACAAAAATAAAGATTAATAGGAGGAATATTTAGAAATAAATAAGACAGTCTATACACCCAAAACAGTACTCAACAACAATAACAATAAAAAAATAAAAAAATAATTTTTTTTTTTTTATAAACACCAATATGAACGAAGATATACAACAAATACATTACCAGACAAAAAACTTATAAAACAAAAAACCGATCACAAAATAAAAAGTATGCTAACAACAATGGAAGGCCTCAGAATGGAAAATTTGTTTGCATGATAAGTTTCCTAGATTTCCTTGATTTTTTTCTGATTTTTCTTAATCAATGTTTTAAATTTTTTTATATTTTATATATTTATATTTTTGATATTGTATGTATTTTAATTTAGTTTGTTTAAAGTTGTTTAAACTATACAGACTGTTTAAAGATAAAATATAATTTGCTAAAACCACTTTTTAACTTAATTCTAGCTAAAAAATATTGGCTTTTTGATACCAATAATTATTATAATTAGTATCAAGAAAAACTTATTTAAAGCACTTATTCAAATTAAAAAAATGTTTGAATAATTTTATTAAACAGTGTTAGTTTTTAAAATTTCTTGTACTTCAAATATTAATTAAAAAATTAATTTAATTATTTTAATTTTTGTATTTAGTTTAACCTGCGATGACAATTTTAAACCGCCTGATTGTATTGATAAAATATGCGTTGAGCATGACGACGATATCAACGGACATTATACTTGCGATAAAAACGGAACTATTATCTGCAGAAACGGGTGGATTGACCCGTCAAAGAATTGCCGATTAGGTATTTTTTTTAAAAAAAGCATTAAGTTTTATTCATAACTTGTCAAGTTCTCTTTAAATCTCAGTGTTGATTGGTGTTTACAACTGATTTGCAAAGATCCCAATAGTTACATACTTGGCTTGGGATATACATACGCATCAACTTACCTGTAAGTCATGAAATCAGGTTTCAATCCTCTGACCATTCTTTTATATGCTTCCGCTTAGCACCTGTTCACTCTATCACCTTTCTCTTTGTTTTTTATCGTTCTCCTTGTTTCCAAAGCTGTACTCTTTTATATCTATTTTCTTATTTCAAATTAACTATCCCTTTCTCTTCACTCCTCTGCCAATATTGTTGTTATTAGAAACTAATAATTTAATAAACTGTTTATTACTGAGGATTTAAAAAAATTTATATATTCTCAAAATTGTATGTTTTGTATACAGCAAATTTACGAATGTATGTGCTGGAATTAGAGTTTTTTTTTTTTTTTTTTAATTTATTTATATATATATATATATATATATATATATATATATATATATATATATATATATATATATATATATATATATATATATATATATATATATATATATATATATATATATATATATATATATATATATATATATATATATATATATATATATATGAGCGTAACCGTTTACTTTTTACTTTTTTGTCTTTTTTATCTATATATTTTTTCTCAATTATTTTGCATTAAAAAAAAATTGATAAAATATATAGATAAAAAAGACAAACAACAACAACAAAAATATATACTTTTTAAAATAATTTATTTATCAATTCAGTTACATAAACATTATAAGGTATGGAACAGTTAGTGTTTTTTTTTTTGCTTTTTTTTCATATTTTGTTTTGGGTTTGTTAGTTAATCCCTATTTAATTATATTTTTAGTAAATTTTAACGGTACTAAAAAATGGTTTTGTCTTTTGATTTTGTATTTAATTTACGCAGATTTTATAAGCTATGTACATTAGCGTATATATTACGGGGTTCGTGATAAGACAGCTATAGCCATTCGATTTTCCCCAAAATTACCAACAAAAATTGCAAAATGATTTTAGTTTGATATTTAAAATTTTTGTAATTGAGTATATTTATTTTTTGATACTTTAGCTGACCCAAACTATGTTTCAAAAACAACTGAATTGTGGATTTCACCGAATTTACCAACAAGTGGAATAACGAGTTTACCAACAAGTTTATTAACGAGTTTACCAACGAGTATATTAACGAGTTTACCAACAAGTTTATCAACGAGTTTACTTAACACTTTACAAACAGTTACTTATGAAAAAAAATCTTTTATAAGTGATAGTGAAACTAGTACTTCAAAAAAACCGACAGAAGCATTTTCAAGCAGCAATATGCAGCTTGATTTATTAGTATCATCAACTTCAAATGGTATTTTATTGCCTTTTTTTTCGGAGAGTCGACAAAGTAAAGCAGAAAGATCCACTTCAATTATGTTTAATTACAGTTCAATAATGACAATACAGCTGGAAACAAAAAAAAATTATACTTTTATCACACATACAAAAACATCTATATCTATTCAGAGCAAAGTTTATAGTCCAACCAGTACAAAAATTTTTTCTAGTAAATTAGATCAAGATACGTACAGCTCGATTAAAACATCGACACCTGCTTTAACACACTCTTTATCATCAATCAATCCATCCACGCATCAGTCTATTAATCAATTATTTTCAACGCAAATATTTTCCACTTACAACCAGTCATCAATGTTACAATCAACACTAAAACTTTTGACTTCTGATTTTTTCTATGGAAGTAATTATAATTCAGCGGCCAGTGTTTACAGTTATACAGACTACTATGAAACTCCTAAAACAACCTCAAAGTTTAATTTTAAAAACACAAATCTTTTAAATTCGTCAGGTTCTCAAGACGTTTTGAAGAGCTCAATTTTATTAACAATCCTTTCTAAAACTATGATATATGAAACAATCACTTCAAACAAAACATTTTTGTTTAATAGTAGTATTCCGGCTCAAAGTATCTCTTATGCAAAACATTTATTTTCTACGACATTAACAAATCAAACAACAACAAATAATCATTTAAATTTTAAAAATTTTTCTACTACAGCTTTGCAAAGCTTTAATTCAACCAGTTTTTCTTTTGTAAAATCTTTTTTAATAAATATAAAAACAACAGAAAATGCTTCATGCGCATCAGTAACTACTCCTGTAAATGTTACTAGTCTTTATATATCAAACATGAACACAAGCTTTATTTTGATGACGCAACAAACAATAGCTTTGACACACCAACCAGCTCTATCAAAGGCATCTATGTTAGAATTTAATGAAAGATTTATAATGCTTGTCTTGATAATTTGTTCAATGGTTATGATTGTAACTTTGATTGTGTGTTTGTTCTATCAGAGAAGAAGGTATTATTTATGTGTTTTTTTTTCAAGTTTGTTTTATTTTACTTATTATTATTATTTTTTTCACAATGTTTTTTATTACCTTTTTTTTACTAAAACCATGGCTTTCTTTATAACAGGCTATGACAATGTCTATATGAAGGTTGACTTTGCATTTAAATCATTTAACTTTAGACAAACGTTTGCGTTTGCGCAATGAGTACTTTATGAAAGTTTTGTATTTCAATATTTTTTGTAAATCTGGAAGAGTTCTAACTATAGAACTGCTTTAATAAGTGCAACTTCAGGTAACAAACAACTTAGTGAAATAAAACTTGAGGGCACCAAGTTATTAGATTTGACATTTAATAGTGTCACACATCAAAACCTACTATACAATATACTCAAAGTATATATATATATATAAAGGTGAACTTATTAAAAGTGGAAGAGGAAACGGTAGATTAAATGCTCTATAGAACATAAAGAACATTTATTTTTACAACTATATTAATAAATTCAATTTCCATAATTAATTAACTGAATTGTTATTAAAAGTAAATAGTAATTAAACAAAAATGACTAAGTTCTTACTAAATTATTTTTGTTACTACTTTGAACAAAGCTCCGAACTAAAAAACTTGGTTTTCCTTAAACAACAGGAGAAAAAAAAAAAAAAGGTTGACAGTAATACCAAATTTGCGTCTGACATCTTGAAAACTCGTTTCAAAAATGTCAAACATTTTAAAAAATATAAACTTTTGATTCATGCTTGATATAGGTTCTCAAAAAAAACAGATAAAATTGTTTCTTTTTAAAGGTTTAGCATTTCTCCTTATCATAACATTGGAAACAAATTCGTCCGATTTAGTCATTCCAAATAAATAATTTTACGTAAAAAAAAGCACATTTATTTTTGATTTTGCATAACTGAAATTCGTCTACTTGATTCAAATTTTTGTGCATATAGTTTATTACAAAATAAATTTTTCCAAGGTGTTTAAGACAAGTATATCATATATATATATATATATATATATATATATATATATATATATATATATATATATATATATATATATATATATATATATATATATATATATATATATATATATATATATATATATATATATATATATATATATATATTTTAATTGTTTGGACACCTTTTAAAAAGTGTTTTAAATTATTGGATGACTAAAAAACTCAGGAGTTTTTCGATAAGAAATTTGTCTGATGGTTGCACATCATAGGATTAGATATATTAGATATCTTATACTACGATGTGCAAATCTAATTATTAAAATATCGAAACATTTTGATTTTGCAGCGTTCCCCAAACCAATTAAAAGGCAAAAAATTTTAACTTATCTAAAAGTACTTTGTGCAATCAAACAAACAAAAAGCCTCTGCTTTAAAATTTTATTTTGAGTTAAAAGATGTAGGCATAATTAAAATTTATTATATAAGACAAAAAGGCTATTATAAAGATAAAACGACTTTAGCAATTAGACAATAATGGTAAAAGTATCGATTTTATTAAATCAGATAATTCTTGTCAGAGATGGTGGTGTTTACTCAAATAAGGAAAAATATTTGGTATTCAATAACGTTTTAGAGATAGAACGCATATTACTTATAGATGTAAAAGTTATATATATAGTTGGCTCTGATTTACATTGCTTAGTATATAGTCCGAAGTGAAGAAGATTTAGATAGATGGCACTTTTTTATGAGAAAATCAGATGTTTTACTGAAGAAATATATTCTAAAAGAATAATTTTGCCTGGTGATTTTGTACTCAAATAATAATAATAAGTAAATTAATATTAGTAAATAATATTAGTAAGATATATTAATTAACACAGTCCAATAATAAAATTTGAAAAAAAGAAAGAAAAAAGTAGTACTATTTATTTAAATATTTTTTTATAATTTTTTTTTTTTTTTTTTTTGTATGAGCTTTTGATGTATAAGTAGGATCTACTTAATCAATGGGTCAGGTCTAGGTCGGTTATCAATGGATCCTGACTCGGATCCAACTTGTATAAACGGTTTTGGGGCTTGGGTAGGTCTTGGGTAGGTCTTGGCCCCTTCCGGTAAGGTTAAAAAACTTTAACTTTAAGCGAATTTCAAAAAATGTTTTTCGTGGTGGGGATCGAACTCCGAACTAATATTTTCTTTATTTATGTTTTTTATAAAAATATATCAGAAAGTATTAAATCTAATTTTTATTAAATATTTTATTATATATTCATTAGTATTTTCAACAAAAACATTTGAAATCGTTGATTTTATAACATTTTTTGTTATAATATTAATTTTTTTTTTTTATAATATTTTTTTATAGTTTTTATAATCTGAAAAGCACAAAGATAAAATATTAAAATCATATTATAAACAAATGTTTTTAAAAACAGGAAGTACCCTCCCCCCCTTGATCCCCTTCTTCCAGTGACTAATTTTGACTTTTGATAGCGGAAATAAATAGGTAAAGTTATTGTAAGTTTTAATAAAAAATTAAAAAATTTTAACATTATTTTGTTATCATTTTAAGTACACATAGGATGTTGATTTTTTTTTTTAATATTTCTTCTGATCAAATATTTCAGGAGCAGAACTCTTACAACTTTATATAAATGATTTATATTTATCATCAAAAGTATTAAATACTATCTTATTTGCAGATGACACTAATTTGTTTTATTCTCACAAAGATATTACTGTTCTTTTTAAAATATTTAACGAAGAATTAGACAAGATCAACGAGTGGTTTATAAGTAACCGACTATCTATTAAACTAAACTATCTTTAAATGTAGAGAAAACAAAATTTATCCTATTCCATAAACCTAGTAAAGCCGAGAATATTCTTCTTAAACTACCCAATCTTTTAATCAATAATAAAATAATTAAAAGGGAATTGACTACAAACTTTCTGGGAGTGCTCTTAGATGAAAAATTGTCATGGAAATTTCATATTAAATATATTGAAGGTAAGATCTCAAAAAATATTGCCATGTTATACCGAACGAAGCCTTTTCTTGATAACGAGTCTTTAAAAAATTTATATTTTTCGTTTATATACAGCTATCTTTCATACTGTAACATTTCCTGGGGTAGCACTAATCACACTAAACTCAAAAAAATTTATAGTAAACAAAAACATGCTTGCAGGATAGTATTTGGGGCAAATAAAAAAACACAATGCGAACCTCTCTTACGTCAGCTTGGAGCTTTAAATATTTATAAGCTTAATATTCATCAAGTAATGTTATTTATGTTTGAAGCAAAACTTGGGTTTTCTCCAGTAACATTTCAATCCTACTTTAATGAAATCTCCCATAAATATCCAACCAAATTTTCAGTGAATAACTTTGTGGTTCCCATAAACTTTCTTAAATTAAGTTCGTACCAAATTCAATATCGGGGGCCTTTAGTTTGGAAAGAATTTCTTCCAATTTTTAGTAAAAAACAAAACTTCGTTTTAAGCTGCACTTTGCAAAGTTTTAAGGATGATTCAAAACGGCATTTACTGAACATGGAATTCGATATACTAGATTTCAAAAACCTTTTTTGAAAACAATTTAAAGGTTTAAACTAAATCACTTAAAAATAAATTAAATCTTTAACACTTTCTTTAGCTTTTATTAAAATGGTTTCAAACCATTAGTATAAAGATAACGAAAATAAAATTGTCTTTTTCGTTCATATTTTTGATGATATTAAATAATCAGCCTAAATACTTATGTTTACATATATTGCTTTTTTTTTTTTTTTTTTTTTTTCCAATTAAACAACACATTTTTTTGTGTGTTTTTATAACTTTCATGACTTTTTGTCGTTTTTACTTTTTTATTTTTAAAATTATTCTGCTTGAAGATTGTTAGCAACAAATTATTTTATAGCTGAAGTTTTTGATTTGTTTTTGTTTTTGTATTTAAACTGTCTTTTTGTCGTTTATCATTTATTGTGCATGTAAATTTTTGTGTGACGGGGCTCGGTGATAAGACAACCTGTCTTCTTCTTGCTCCGGCCAGGATTTTCTTTTATTGTAATTTCTTTTTCGTAATATTTATCAACGGCAAATTAAATAAATAATAAAAAATAAAAAAAAACTACAAGTGCCTAGGGGAAAACAACATTTATACTTTTCTGAAAAAAGTAAAAAAGAAGGGGAAGGGGGATTAAAAAAAGGTTAGGAACCACTGTTTTAAATAATTAATTTATTACTAAATAAAATAATTGTTAACTCATATTCCCAAACAGTAAATTATTAAAAACTACTTTAGGTATAAGAAAACTAAATGATCAGTCAACCATTTTGATCGAAATTAAAATCAGCGAAATTAAGTTCAGCTAATACTACAGTTATTATATTTATTACTGTTACATAATTTACTAATCACTGACTTCAAATATGTTAACAAGTAAAAAATAAAAAAATAACCCGGCGGATAAATACGTTTATTTTGTTTTGTTGTATACAGCTTCCTATTTCTTGATTATTTGTTTATATAGTTTTTATTTACTCGGAAACAAAAAATTATTTCATAACATTTCTTTCAAGTTTATCATGTCTTTGCGTTACCATTTTTTTTTTTTTTTTTTACAAAGCTCTAGAGCGTAAGATCATATATATATATATATATATATATATATATATATATATATATTTATATATATATATATATATATATGTATGTATATGTATATATATATATACAAATATATATATACATATATATATATATATATATGTATATATATATATATATATATATATACATATATATATATGTATATATATATATATATATACATATATATATATATATATATATATATATATATACATATATATATATATATATATATACAAATATATATATACATATATATATATATATAATTATATATATATATATATATATATATATATATATATATATATATATATATATATATATATATATATATATATATATATATATATATGTATATATATATATATATATATATATATATATATATATGTATATATATATATATATATATATATATATATATATATATATATATATGTATATATATATATATATATATATATATATATATATATATATATATATATATATATATGTATATATATATATATATATATATATATATATATATATATATATATATATATATATATATATATATATATATAATAATACTGTAATAAAAATTACATTATTAATATAATTATAAAGTATACTATACTTGTTTCTCCGCGCAGGGGCCTTGTTCGTCAAGGTTCGTGTTTCGGAGTTATAGAGTTGAGAGAGGGTTATAACCACTACTAAGTAGTCTCCTCGTCTTTAGTGGCCTTCTCGGCCTTGAGTAGGTGAATAACAAAAAAACAAAACAAAAAAAAAAAGTACTATATATATAGTGTATAATTTATAATAAATTGCGTCTTCATCAAAACACAAAAACGCAGGTTTTACACCTACAAATATAATCTTATTGTTTCGTATATAATATGTCTAATTTATAAAATATCTCTCTAGCTGTTTTGTATATATTAAAATATTCATTTAAATTTAGTATATTATAAAAGATTCAGATAATGTATCGTCATTAAATTAGTTGAAAACTTTAATGTCGAATAATGCCTCACTACTTATGTTTAGTCAACACTCAATATATGATGATACGAGACAAAGGTTTCTATGAGAGATGTTTTTGAAAGGACCCAAATATTAGATGTTAGAAAGATTTTTAACAGAGCTTTTTTTGTGTGACTTGAATCTTTTTTGAGGTGAAACTAATTTAAAATTTTTTTCATTTTATTCAATTTAATTTACAGTCCTTTTTTAAGTTTAATTTTTAAATTAAGACAATTAAACATAAAACTAACCTTTAATGTACGTCCCAATCATCGTATGCTACTATTAGGGGATAAGGTCTTTTCGGGACCATAGAAAACTTTAAAGCTGGAAACCCCTTTTTATTTTATTATTCAAAGATTTTATTTCCAGAGTTTTTATTTAAAAAACTGTTTTATTTTGAATTGGTGCCCCCAAAACTGCAGCTCCACAGCTGCCCTAGCCCCCTTTAATTAAGTAACTGTATGTTACATCTAAAAAGTTTTTTTTTTATAACAACGTCAGAACTTTAAAATGCTTTTTTTTTAATTATTTTGTTTTAAAAATATTTACTAGAATTATTTTTATTATATTTAAATACTTGCCTAAATATTTAAACAAAAATAATTTGTGTTACGTCAATATAAATTAGAGAAAGTAAATGTTTAGTTATTATTTTTATAGTTAAAGACGTTAATATTGTTACGTCACTCACAATTTGAGATTATGCATGTCACGCAGTATGACAGCATTTCTTAGTAACGGTATTTTTAAAAAAGTAAATAATCTAAGACCGCTATTGAGATATTCCGGTATTATTTTTATTTTTAATGAACATGTTTTAATTTTGTAGAGTATACCGCAAACTTAAACGTCACGAAGCACAAATAGAAGATCTAAAAATATTACTTTTGTTAAAACAAAGAACAGCGTCGTACCATGAAACTTCACATACAGAAAATCCATACGTCACTCACGAAACTAATTTAAGATTACTTGACACTCCAGGAGGAGAGTACGTAGGTTTTGTAAACGAAATGTTTCAAATTGAAGAGAAACTACCTTCGCCTATATCAACACCATCAAGAAATAAAAGACCTTCAGTAGGTCCTTCGGCTGCTCCATATTATGGTGAAAATCAAGATAAACGTAGACGAACAGGCGCTTCTTTTTTGCTTCCTCCTCCAATGAATAGAATGGGATCTCCTATTATGGTAAGAGTGGAAGAGAATGCGGAAGATAATAACGTTAAAAGTGTTATACCAATGAATATAATAAAAAATAAGACATCTTTAAACACAATTCAGGAACCGCCCACACTATGTTTAACATCATCTTTTTCTCCGCCTCCACCACCGCCTCCACCTCCACCACCACCTCCACCACCTCCTCCACTTGTTTCTGTTTTATCATCAGCTCCACGGGGAATTCCTAAAATTCAAATAACATCTTCTGAGTCAAATCAAGTTACAGCAAATAATCAAAAATCGCCAATTGATTCTCTTCTAGATGAATATCGCTCTAAATTTGCTGAGCGTAATCGGAGAGTTCAAAGTTTAGAAACGATACATTAATACTTTCATGTTAAAAATAAAAATAAAATGCATACTACTTTTAAAGTTTGTTGTTCGTATTAATAATACAATAGAGTTATTTATATATAATGTAATATGCAATTATAAATATATGTATATTTTTGCAATAAAAAAAGGTCCTAAAATGTTATTTAAAATATGAGTAGTTTTTTTTTGTTTTTTATTTATTTTTAATGCAATCATTTTTTTTATAAAATTTTTTAAAAGGGTGTGTTGGATGTAAAAGTACTGTCATGAGAGCCAATAACTGGCTGGCAATATTTTATTTTTTAAGCAAGTTTTGTATAGTCTATATATATATAGCCTATACAAAACTTGCTTAAAAAATACCAATGTATATATACATTGGTTTTGTTAGAATAGAATAGTGAACCAAACTACGAAACAGTCAATCATATTATAATAAAAATATGGCAGCAAAAATTATTATTTCAAACTCAATGTGTTTAAAAACAAAAAATTATTTTATCTAGACATTATATAGTGCAATCTCTTTAGTAAAAGAAAGAAGTTTTGTAACCCTAGGTATACAGAGCTTTATATTCTATTTTGAAGGCGTTTACATATTAATATATCTTTCGTAAATGTGTATACATATACCTGGACGTAAATATTAAAATCCGTATTTCTTAATCTTATTCCAGCGGCTTCGTAAATATGACGTTTTTTATTCAAAGATTTAAAACTATATCCAATAATTGGTACTATAAAACATTGACTTTTTTTGTATTTCTAAATTTAACTCATCTAAAACTGATAATAATTTAAGATTGGTTTTGGGTTCAAGTTCATTTTCATTATAAATACATAAATTTTTCGCACCTTCGTCACCATTACTTTGTTGTGCAGTTACAGTTGATGGAAACTTGTTTCACTTTTTTAGTCGTACCCTAGTACGACTAAACTAGCCAGACCATTTGGTAATTCTTACTACTTTTTATCGCTTCGAGAAAAAGTCTTTGCTTAACTAGAATTTTTACTTCGAATTGCGCATAAGTGTATGTAATTTGGGTGACCGTACTTTAAAAATACAAAACAGGAATGAAAAAAGAGGAAAAAATCTGGCAAAATCTTTCTAGATTAGTTCGTCAGAGTTAATAAGTTTCAATGGAAACATTGTTTATTCGTTACGGTAACTTGACCAATACGGTAATTAATGCGTTGTTATTAAAAAATTGAAAATCATTTTTTAATTTCTTTTTTCCAAAAATATTGCTTGTTTCAAAACCAATAGTGGAGTGTCCCGATGACCTTTTTAAAACCAGGATAATCCCGGAAAACCGGGACGACTGGTCACTCTATATACAATTGAATACCTTTGTAACATATTTAATTCAACTATACATTTTAACAGTTAACTTTGATTTGGCTAAACTTCGATTAAATTTAAATTGTCGAGATAAAATGTTAAAGGTTGCTTTAACATTTTATCTCGACAAAAACCTCACTATATGAAATTTAAACAAAAAAGTACAGCATACTATAAGAATTTGACATTGGAGAAGCATCGGCATCTATATTAAAGAATTAAAACATAAAAGAAATCTTCTGCAAAAATATTTAGGATCCTCCCAACATAAGGATTAAGAAAAAGCATATTATATTTTATATTTTAAACCTTGTTTTAGCGAAATATCTTCATTATGACAAGATTTTAACTACCTTTAAAATGGTAATTACCGTTGTTATAGTTACAAAACTTGAAAGTAGGTTACAACTTCAACATTTTTGATTAATTTTTTGTTAATTTTCTTTATAAAATTAAATTTTATTGGTACATTATAAAACCGTCACATTATGTTCAAGACTTTAAAGCCTTATATTATATCCGTTTGTTTTATAGGTGAAGAACAGCTTGGTACTAATTTCGGTTCTATGGAGACAGGAAATCAACTTTAATGTCGTACTTTTTTAGGTTTTCAAGTTCCCTTGTGCAATTATGATTCTTTAGTTTTATATTAAAAGTAATGGAGTTTGATGACCTAGTTTTCTGTTCTGATTTTTTATTAAACTTGATATAAGTGCAGTTCATAAATTCATTTCAGTCATGGCTAGATTTAAAATGCGTGGTTAAATTTAAAATTACGCGTAATACTTAAGATTTAGCACAGCAATCTTAGAAAAAGCTAAAAACTTCTGGTTAAACAGCTTCTCTGTTACTGAATAACCCTCGAAGTCTAGTGTTCATTTAAATGTCGAGATAAGGATTTTTGTAGGATTCTTATAAACTCAATTAGACAATATAGTACAGTTTTTCTTGTAAGCTACTCAAAAAAAATTAAGTTGTGATTGCTTCTAGTGCATTTTTTTTAAACTAAAAAGACGAAAAGTTGAAAATTGAATTTGAGTCTAATAATTTGAGTAGGTACTGATAACTTCACGCACTCCTTCACCATATTCCCTATCTTTTTTCATTTTTGTGTTTTTTAAATATAGATGCAGTATCCAGATTTTTTTTGTCATGGAACTAACAAGCGTAACGCATACGTAAAAAAATACAGTCTGTCAATTAGCTACTTTTATTTGTTAAACATTAATTTAAATTCTCATTAACAAGAGGTTTCAGGTGCGGTTCTGATAAACATTTACGCAAACTCTGTTAAGCAATGTGGTGAATAAACTTCTAATATTATTGTGGCGTCTTCAAATGAAGCCACCTTTTTTACAAAACAAATTATGAGTTCCTTTTACATAACAAATTAAATGTTTTTTCACATTCACGAGAAATACTTTTTTGCGAGCAATATTTTTTAAATCAAAGTATATTAAGTGTAGAGCACACAACCACAACCTGTCGACTCTTTAGTTGAGTGTAATCGTATGCGCAAAGCATTCTGGGGTGTCCTAGTAGTATATAACAATGACGTAAATAAATGACTACACCTTTTCAAGATGTAATTGAGAAAACTATAATTGTAATTAAGAATCGTAAGATGTAACTGAGAAAACAAAAGTTGTAATTAAGAAACGTAAGATGTAATTGAGAAAACGTAAGTTGTAATTAAGAAACATAAGATGTAATTTAGAAAACGAAAATTGTAATTAAGAATCGTAACATGTAATTGAGAAAATGTAAGTTGTAATTAAGAAATAGAAAGATGTAATTGAGAACACGAAAATTTTAATTTAGATATCGCTTTAAAGGAGTAAGTGTAAAATGGCGCTTAAAAAAAATGGCGCGTAAAAAAATGGAGCGTAAAAAAATGGAGCGTATAAAATGACGCACTTAAAAATGACGCAAGATTTGTAGCGTAAATTTAATTTTTTAGAGAAAAATTTAGGGAAAAATTTATAATTTTTGGGCAAATGAATTTAACATAATAAACACTAAAAACATTTTAGGGAAAAATTTATAATTCAATTAAAAATTATAATTAAAAATTATATAATTAAAAATCACTTCATTGGTCATTTAAGCACCAACTTGTACGTCTTCCATATTTAAAATAGTTGCATAGTGCGTGGTTGTGTGTTGTACCGCACGTGCACAATCTCTTCCCATTATAGTATTTTTCGCCTCAATTACAATTCGTTCTAAGTACTGCATGCGCTGTTCCGCAATCCCGTCACCTAATACAGGTGGAATGCGAATTGCATTTTTAACGTTACTTTTAATTTTGGACCAGATCGTTTCCACCGGGTTCAACATTGGACTGTAAGGTCCCAAACGTAACAACTGAGCTGGTGAATTATCAAACACCCTTTGCAAACGAGCGTAACAAGGAGCATTATCTGTTACGACGACCAAATCCTCCAAACGATTCCCGGATGTAACCCACTCGTGAAACATAGCCAACATCCACTCGTTACAGGAATCTGCTTTAAATGATCCCCTGTGAGTTTCTATCATGACGACATTTGTAGTTGAAATAGCTGCGAGTGTATGTTTAAAGTGTATGTTTAAACTTTTTGAAGCAGGTACTTTCATAATTGCTCTTTTACCTTGTCTCGCGCGTCCTTGCGTTTTTCTACAAAAAAGGTTAAAATTTGTTTCATCCAACCAAACTATCTTACGACCATTTCTGATATGTTCGTTGATGTTTCTAACATATTCAGCTCTTTTTTGTTTGTTTTCATAACTGTTCATTGTAGAAAGCTCCTTGGGCACTTTTTTTAATGAGAACAATCTGCCTTCGAAGTAATTTGCTATTGTTGTTGTGCTAACGTTTATGTTAAATTGTCTTAATATCTTTGTTTTGATGGCCACCAATGTTAATTGACAATCATTTTCAATCCATGTTAATGTTTCTTCGATTTGATCTTCGGTCAACTTTTTCGGTTTAAAACCTCCTTTTCCGATGAAATTTGAATTTCCGCTGCGAACCCAATTGTATGCTGTCTTATATTTGATACCTAGCGTTTGCGCGAGATTCACCCAATCTTCAAATCGCTCCGCACATTCAACAACTTTTCTCCTGTCATTTGGAGAAGATAAAACGTAACGTTTCCTTTTAACTTGTTCAGTTGTGTGTATTTCATGCCGACAAATCGGACAACTTGAATCTGGTTGTTCCAGAACTGGACGTAAACAAATTTGGTGACATAAATGTTGACACGGATTTAGCTTAATCACAGACTTTCGGATCATAGTGTATTGGCATATAACACAACGATCTTTCAATTCCATTATTATTACTTGTGCATACAAAAGCAAAATTTAAGATTATAACTTAAATTCATGTCCAAAAAGACCTTTTGTAACAACCTACAAACTTAGACTGTGAATTTGCTATTTTAATTTATGTGTTCTCAATTACAAGTTACGATTTCTCAATTACATATTACGATTTCTCAATTATATCTTAAGTTTTCTCAATTACATGTTGTGTTTCTTAATTACATGTTACGACTTCTTATTTACATGTTGTGTTTCTCAATTACATATAACGTTTTCTCAATTACATGTTGTGTTTCTTAATTACATATTACGACTTCTTAATTACAACTTTCATGTTCTCATTTACATCTTGAAAAGGTGTAGATTTTTATAAAATAAAAGTGAAGCCGATTTATTTGTTTACTATTTTAATCAGCCATTATTATATCGGGCAGAAAACATTATTTCTTTTACCTTGCTGAAGTATTTATCTAATTCAACTATTTTCATCACAAATTGGTAAATTCTTGTGCT